TTTGCCATTTTGTAGAAATAGCAAAAAGTATTATTTTATTATCCCTCAGCGTGGAAATTGGAAAAGATCACGAAGGAAATGATTCTCCATCGGAATCTGCTCGTGTCCTTATAACGAATCATATAAAAGACATCGAAGAGGTGTCACTAGATGATAAAGATAATGACAATATACAAGATGAAGATTTTGATTTGGAAATAACAATGTGTAACATTGCATCGTGGTCTAATGATCTTCTTCAAGATTGTCGCAAAACGTTACCAGAAACGAAAATAAAATGTGACACGGCAAATCCATATTATGTTCCGCAGTTAAGTCAAAAACTAAAAACATTCCTTGTGTATTTTCCATTATATTCGGGAGTAATGATTCCTATTTTTGGATATGGACAAATAAATGCTAGTTCATCATTTGTAGAGTCTGAGATGAAAGATATTAAGCATATCTTATTAAACAATAAAGAACGTCCAATGAGAGCAGATAAATTTGTAATTACTCGTCTAAGATCGTTTGTGGGCAGATCACTATTGGCTATGTCGACACATGACTCTCTGCTTTTTGCTAATAATAATATGTCAGCCACAAAGAATGATGTCAACAGTAGTTCGATAAGGAAGACTGAACTTATGTCAACTATCGAAGAAAGCAACCAGTCTGAAGACATATCGAATTCTACAATTGTGCTCAATCATTCAACAAAGTATGAAACTGACTCTAATTCTCCGACAAATATTAAAGTAGAATTTAATTCTAAAGGTATTATAGCAAATCATACAAACGAATTGAATTTAGAGCACAATTGGAGAAATAAAAATACAACACAAACAAATAAAAAGGAAACATATCTGGACAATTGCCCGGACTGGGATATAAGTCATAGGAAAGACGCGCATAGGAGTTGTAAATCTACAAAATGGTAACCTATGTTCCTTTGTAACTATCGATAAAAAAAAAGTTCTTGTTACATGCGGATTTGACAGTATTGTTTCTATAATTGCATGTGCATGCATTAATGAATATTATAAAAATAATATTGTAACATCCGATACTACCATTATGAACTTCGTTAACTGCTTCTTAAAAAATGGTTGCAGTCAAAACACATACAAACTAAGAGCCGAAATATTAATGGGTGTTAATAAATTCAAAACTCAGATCGACAAAAATTATATAACTATAAACTGTTTCTCAAGCGTAGGAAATGTTGCACAATATGTTTTCGAAGGCGATCCTAGTTATACAGAAATAAAAACTTGCGCCGTATATTCACACATTATCATGCGTCAATCTGTATTAATTCCTATTAATGTTGATGTTATTATAAAGCACGTATATTGTGAACTATCCATGGCTATATCAGAATGTATGCCAAATAATAAATCAATCTGCTGTAAACAACGTATGAACAGAAATATAAAGTACGGAAAACAAATATTTATAGAATGTGACGTAAAAGAAAACGATACAGAGAAAGACTACTATCTTGCAGAATTTCAGACAAAAATTCAGGTTGGCGAGGATTCGTTTCTTTTAGCGGGCATAGTAGCACGTTACGGTGATACCTATGAGAACGGCCACTATGTAGGGTATTCGTATCAAGGATCTCAAGATAGAATTCAACGATTTAATTAAAAATATAAGAAACAAATCCAAAGAATATAAAATAAAACCGCATTTAATAATGTTAGAGAAATAATTTCAGAGATTGGTATTGCTTCTCTTAACCAAAGGTGGCAACACTGAGAAACAACAGAGTGCGTGCGAGTGCGAATGTCCGGAAAGGCCCTGTTAGAATGTCGGAATGAACGAACGTGCTAAGCGTAAAACAGTAAAGTGTGGTTCGAGAACTGTATGTTATAATCTAAGGACATCGTCCATAATAATCGCAGATAATGAGTGTTCATTTAGTGTGTTAAATTAACCACAAACTGAATATATTTTTCTTTATATTATTTAAGAAACACAAATAACTACGCACATTTTATTTCCTTTTTCTTACTAAACCTCATCAAATAATCTATGTTGCATGCGAAGCAAATTCATTTTAAATATATTATGTTCATGCATTTTTCTTTTTTTTTTAATCTTATATCTATATCTTATATCGTTTATAAAAAAGATTGACTTTTTTGCCATTTCAGAATATTAAATTTTATTTGGTGTTTTGTGCCTAAATACATATAATATATATATACGCCTATAATATTATAAATAACATTAATATGAACAACAAAAAAACAAAAATATAAAAAAACAACAAAAAACATAAATTAAAAATATGTAAAAATATATGAAAGATGCAAAATAACAGAAAGGAGCCACAATACTGCTACGTTTACGTTGTTGGTTCCGAGTAACGCAAAAGGTGGTTGTATACGTATATGTATGAGGGAACGAGTGCGCGTAAGGGTGCGTGCGCGGGTATGCAAGCGTGTGTGCGAGAGTGTGTGTGTGTGGATGTAGTATATTACCGATATATTATACCCCATTTCTTTGTTTTTTATTAAACTTTTAGTGTATAACACGTGTCGTTTTGTACACAACCCTCAGACGCAATCCTACGTATATTATCTATCGGTATCATATATTAAAACTAAATGTACAAAATATATTTTCTTATATAACCATTCATTACAGTTGAGAAATACACGTTTTAAACATATTCGCAGAATATTCTGATTCCTAACTTTGCCAACGCTGCGAAATCTGTCGATCTGGCGAAATTTTGTAATAAGAAAAATTGTTGTGCCAGTCTAGCACAATACGGCACAATAAAAAAAAATTCGGAAATATCGAAATTTTTAATCACCCCCACCATTTTCTGTTAATTTTTGTTGACCCTCGAGCTAATCTCAATTTTTAACGCATATGTCTCGTGTATTATAAGTAGCACAATGTAGCACATCTTGCAGAATTCGATTATCTGTCGCCGTTCACAAATTGTGCGAATATTAAATTTTTTATTCCTTAAAAATCAACATTTTTTATCTGCAAAATGAGTAGAGATAACGAGTTTCTATCAATGGCACAATGTAGCACAAGTTAGTACGCATCTTTCTATAGAAAAAAAAGTTTGTTTCGGCAAAAGTGCGGGGATAGTATAATTTTTGTTTTATTTCTTTTCTTAATTGTTATAGATGTTATTGATCTCTTATTTACGGCACAATTCAGCACAAATATAGCACAATACGGCACAAAAAAGAAAAACTGAATATTCGAAAAGTGCGGGGCTATCAAAAATGTTGTTTTATTCTATTTTCTTGAGTACGCCTTGACTTACAGAATCGCGGTTTACGGCACAATACGGCACAAACGTAGCACAACGTAGCACAATTTAAAAAAATCAAAAACTTGAAAAGTGCGGGGCTAACTTCACACACATATATTTGTCGCAGTGCGAAGAACGCACGCGCCGACTGCGCCTACAACGCCCACTGTTGCCATGCAGGGTACGCATCGTCCTTGAAAGAGGAATATAAATACAACCGCCACAGCCGGCTTTGTCACTTACTTACCTATTACCTCTAGTACTTACTTATTTCTATTACACACTTCGACTTACTTCTACTTCATTATAATTGTGAGGCCTGTGAACGGTCAATTCTACGAATCAATCTTGTATTAGTACAACGATAATAAATCCTTAGTGGAGAAAAGCTCTTGTATTAATATTATAAAACCAGTAAATTCTAAATCGAAGTGTTCATCGCAGCAGGAAGAATTCGAGGAGGACAACTTCTGAACATCTTTACAGCGGTAATTGTAAAGCAGGCACACGTGAGTAATTTGTAAGAACGATAATTTATAAATTTGGAATCTGTAACAGCGCGCATCAAATTCAGAAACTCTCACGAACAAAATCTCATTCTTCTCCTTTCGTTCATCTATCGATTCATTAGTTTATTCTTTCCTATTTCTTTAAATCTAGTTAATGTTGAAACTACAGGATAGTTCTCGTAAAGAACGTAAATATATATTTTCTTTCCCAACGAACTCCGAGGAATGGAGGAATTCTCCGTTTTCTTGGAGAAAACCTTTGAAACCCTTCCCTTGAACGAAACGACTCTTCGAAAGTTGTTCTCATCGAGACAAACCTTTCTTTTGAATTCTACTTCTTTCTCCAATACGAATTATATATAAATTGTACCCAAAAAATTCGTTAATTCTCGAAGAAAATGTAACGGAATTCAAATCGGGAACCGTTACGTCCTTTAGGTGACATTCTCCTCTTGGAACGTTGATTTCGCCGATGAAATACATAAATAATACTCACCTTCGAATCACTTGCTCGATCGAATTCTGGAATACTGTAAAAGTAGAATCGTATTGTTATTCACAATATAATTCAAATTAGGATTAATATTAGCATTATTTAACCGCTCACTTGCCACGCTTTGCCACGTTGATTCTAGATTTCCGCTCGGTCCAGAATCGCCATCTTGTCAGAGATTTTCTCCGCCAATCAAGTCTGAAACAAAAATAGAACTACTTACCAATCATTATTCGAGATCCCGTTCGAAACGCCATTTTCGATCGGAGGGTACGTCCCAAAATTTCGGGTCTCGGGCGAGGCCGCGCCTACTCCGGAACTCGGGACGTTACACCGGAAACAGCGGTGGGATGTCGATTCGTAAAATTTTTAATTTCACACCTACAAAGTATCTTACGGACTAGTGGCTAAAAAATTAAACCCTGTATTCGAAACAGAGTATTATTACACGAAAATTTAGAATTCTCTTATTTAAATTATAAAACTTGCAAATTAGTAAACAGAAATAAAAATTTTGCGTTTAAAAACAGAATAAGACGACGCGGAAGTCTAGAATTCCGAGTATTTAAAAAACTTTGATATTAAAACAAAGTGGCGTAATTTGCATAAAATTTTGTACTCTGGTATAAGAAATAGTTGTAATTATTAATTATAAGAATAAGAAATTAAGAAATTAGTTCAAATTAAGGACATTAAGGAAAAGAAGTGCGAGAGTGAATAAGTCGACACGCAAATTCAAAGTTTAATATATATTTATTGAACAAACGTTGCTTAAATTCTTAAAATTTTTAAAATGTACAGTCAAGACTCCGCGTGTGATGCTAATAACAGCTACGAAGGTGAATTCAGTGTAGAATCGCGCGAAGAACTTCGTAAAAGTTGTGAGGCCCTTCGAATACCAGTTCGCGATGCTCTGTGAAAAACAGAAAGAATTAGAACATCGCCAAAAAATGGAAGAAAGAAGAAAAATCTACGTGGATCCACTCACCGAGGACATCGATTCAACCTTGCAAGACGAACTCAGGGCTATGAGGAAGGCCATCGAACAGTTCGCAGCCATCATGAGGACAACAGCATTCAACATCGCAGCATCTTCGTCTTCGAGCGACTCTAAAACAGCAAGAGACGCAACAGAATCTGTTTCCAAGTTCGACGGTTGTAACATACCTGTACAACAATTCATCAGAGCGTGCAGAGAAGCAGAACCAGATGTTCCAAAGGAACAGCGCCAGCACCTATTAATTTTATTGAAAAATAAATTACAAGGATACGCGTGCCAAGTCATAGAAGACAGGCAGATAAAAATCATCGAACAACTTACCAAAGACTGCGAACGATTTTTGCACCGCTCTATAATTCCAATCATTGTCGTGGGGAACATATTGAATTACAAAGAAAACATATTGAATTGAATGACCAAAGAAAACATATTGAATTACACTGCGCGTGTTAAGGATCCCTACGAATACATCATCAAGGAGGAGAAACCATCTGCAACAGGAAAAAGAATCATCGACAGTTTCGCTGCAAAAAATTTCATCTACGGCTTACCTCCAGATATGCGACTGAGAATTCAGTTCCAAAATCTTTGACCTCTGGAAGAAACGTACGATTGTGCAGTGCAAGTTGAAAGTGAAATCGCCAGACACAAACTCAGGTTCGGTGATAGTAATAATAATGTTGTAAAACTCACCTGTCAACTTTATGGGGAACCTAACCACACTGCGAGGTTCTGCAGTAAATTTACACAAGTACCACTTGAAAGAAGAAATCAACCAGTGAATAATAGACAATTATCAACCACCCACGAAACCACCACCAATCATATGTCATTATTGCAATCGACTGGAACATTTCGAAGCCGAATGCAGGAGGAGACAATTTGACAGGAGTCGACAAGAAACAAACCTTAAAACCAGGAATCAGGGAAATGGACCAATTCCACAACTGATCCAGGATGCCCCTCGTGAGACGACAAACACCAAAATCCATCCAATCTGCACGCAGAACGACGAGTCCGAACCCCTAGAGTTGCCAGAATCAGCAACCCAATCACTTGTAGAGTTCCTTCAGCAATCCTTCGACCAAATGGAGTAATTTGATCAGCTCGCTTCATGCTGGACACTGGCTCTGAGGTAAATTTAATAAAACAAACAGCAGTTAGTCCTCAGGCAATTATCGACACCACAGTAATCATAAAACTCTCTGGTATTACACATGATTTCACTCCAACACTGGGACTTCTTCGTTCATCCATATTTGGTTACCCTGTCAACTTCCACGTCGTTAGCAGCACATTTCCCATCGAACATACAGGAATTCTCTGTACCTAATTTTTTATAACATACGGTGGCACTTCAGATTACATAAATCGACTTCTGGAATTTAAAGACATCATTATTCCCTTCGCCGAACTACAATGTAAACAGGAGCACTCTTCGAAGAAAGAAGTTGTCGCAAGGATCCAAGAAAAATACGACGAACCACTTCCTGCAAAACCAGAAGAAAAACCAGCCAAAGAAGCTGCAAAGAAAAAACCCAAATTAGAAACGAAGGAAAAACATTCCATCAGGAAAAATGTCGTCTTAAAAATAGAAAATAACCACCAGAAATCACTATCGTCGAATCCAGAGGTAACTCAAGCTCCTTCTACCACCGAACAACAGCCAGTCGAAGAATCTAGAAAAGAAAAGTCCAAATTAAAATCGAAGAAAGAGTCTAAGGAAGTCGATATAGATCTCACTCTCCTTGATACTTGGACACAACTGGACCCCAAAGAGGAAAAAGACGACCAATCCAGTGCCAGCAGCGGGTTCACCTGAAGCAGAGGAGAAAGAAGAAAAAGTTTACAATGTCGCAGCCGAAATCATCCGTACGCAGCCTGTCAACGAGGAACTAGTCATCGAAACCTAACCTGCACAAGAATCCTTCTACTCCAGCAGCATCGTGGGCCAACTTCTGAGAAAATACGGTTTCACTCTGGGCAAAGGACTGGGGAAAAATCTGCAGAGACGAACAACACCTGTAATAGCGAAATGCAGCGTAAAGAGACACGGTTTAGGATATCGGTATGTCGAAACAAAACCCTCTGCATGCGAAATCGGGTCGAGTTATTATTATAAATACCGTAGATAAGGGTTCTTAGTTAATAAGAGGAAAACGGGATTCAGGTATCACCGAACGCGTATAAAATATAACCTGTCGCGATTCGACGCGCAATTTTGTTTCAACCTTCGCTGTGAATTAGGATATGCAAACTCACCGATTAGATTCCTCAACACTTTTGACACGAAGAACGTAAGAATTTCGCCCCTACTATTATTTTTTTTTTATGAATTGCATGATTTTAATTTCAATTCACTTTCCTCGCATGTTTACATTTCAACCAGGGCCCCCCAGGGTGGCCAAGCACAGTTGCGGAGTAGAGAAACTACGTTTTTAGTTGGGGACACAAAACCACGCGGCGCTAGTAGGCATCCCATACCCATATCTAGCGTATCGGTGAGTACCACCAACCCGGTATGAAAATTTCAACGTCAGTGTCGGTAGCCGTCGGTTTCCGTCGGTACTCGTCGTCATTTGCGAAGTAACAATGGGCCATTGTCAATGGCACAATGGTAACCAGGGCCCCCAAGCTCTACTCTTGTGACCATGTGACCATGAAGCCCGATTTAATTCGGGTCCCCGGGGTTTGGCGGCGCTAGTGTCACTCTTTTACGAACTATTAAGGGGATAGACACGGGTAATGCAGAGAGATGACATTACCGGCAAAAGTGGGCCTAAAAAGGGGTTCGCGATTTTTCGCTTTTCGTCCTTATATTAGCATATTTTGGACTGAATGAGGGCTCATTCGAAAGAGGAAGGTCCAACGAAGGGTGCTCTGATCATGATAGAACGATAGTGTGTTGATATTTAATAATATGAGCGTCCAAAGTTAAACAAAAGTCGAGCAAAACACATCCGTAGAATGGAAGTATTTTTAGGTTACTAAATGGATTTTGTGACTCGAATGATGACCAGAGCACCCTCCATTGGATCTTCCTCTTTCGAATGAACTCTCATTCAACCCAAAATATGCTAATATACGAACAAAAAGCGAAAAATCGTAAAAGCATTCCCAAAGACGAGTTCCGCCATTTTGACGATAATGCAAAGCAAGTTACGTCGCAAATTCAGTTCAGACAATCGATAGGAGATGGCGCTTACTGAGGACGACTGCTAACGCGATGTCGATACAATTGCGATGTTGCCGTTCTCACAACAACGTCTTTCTATACTGTTGCCATTTCACTGAGGTCGAAATCGCGCTTAGCATCCCGATCCCGTATCCTTACATTTACCAACGTCGACTCTTAGTCTCTCTTCCTTCTTCATCGAACTGTTTCTTTCTACTTTCGTCATCGCTTCGAAACTCTAGCTTCGCGCTGAACGCGGTTCGATCCCGGTAGGAGTCACTTAATTTTTTTTTACTTTTTCTTCCGTTTGTATGATGTTTTGTTATGGAAACTACCTTTTTATATATTAAGATTATTTTTATACATTATTGTGCAATTTTTATGTTTTTTATCGCTTTGAAAAAGAAGTCATGATGTGAAAGGAGTTTCTACAAGCTTTTACAAAAACTTACGTCCTTATAGTTTGTAAATAACAATTTAATTATATTAAATAAACATTGCACAACTTCTTTCTTCTTTTTTAGTCGGAGATACGGAACACTCCGACTGAGAAGGAGGATCAAAAAACGACCTTAGGTGTAGCATAGTAGGGGGTGGATAGGACTCTCAACTTTGATACATGGTGTAAAGGGGCGAACAAGCAGGCTGGTACTGCAGGTCCTGAGGGATATGGATTGCCCGACGTCCAACTCCGCTTCGGCATTTCCGATAAATAGGTAGAATGACCCCGCCCAATAATGGACCACTCCCAGCAGAGTAGCGCGCAGCCTCGAAAGGATAGGCCCGGGTCCAAGAGAAAACAAGGATCGCTCGAAACGCGGGGTCGAAACACGAAGTCGAGGTGATGAGATCCCGCCTGGCCCAAAGCTGTGGACACGGCCAAAGTGCCATTCGCCCAAGAGAACACCGGCAAGTGCACCGGTGCTCCCCCCCCCCTGGCTTAAAATGCGAAAAAGATGCGAAAAGTAGGTGTGATATCATAAGAATTTTGCTTGAACAAATTTCAACTGACTTTGAATGCGCACCAGAGCTATGAACCCTGCGAGTGGGTTGAATTCAAGAATCGAAGAAGATACGATTAGTCCTGAATATTTCAATGGATCCGAAGATTGAGGATGGAGTAGAAATCGCAGACGACTCTGACACGAAGTCAGATAGCTGCTGGGAAAAGGTATCCCGGTAAAGGGTAACCGTTGGGAAAGTTAGGTAAAGAATAAGAAAGGACCACGGACCTGACTGGTTATCCAGTCGAAGCACGTCCGTCCCCGATGGCTACCCACTATAACCCCACGCCCGCCTAAGCTACATGGGAAGCGCCTGGATTACGCGAATACTCAACAGGGCACTTCCCAGCTAACATGAATCCCGGGGGGAGGGTGTTAACCTCCCCCACGCCTTACTCTATAAGACCCCGGGCGGAGGGACCCGCCCGGTGTCGCCATCCCCGGGGTCCACCCACGGCTCCCGACAACTTCGTGCCTATTCCGCTACAGGAGTCCCAAGGGTCCCCACGCAGACTGGGCAAGAAGATGCCGACACCGGTAAGGGAGGTTCGTTGGAGGCATGATCCGGCACGCCCCGAAGCTCCACACCCCAACCCCCACGCGCCCCAGAAGGACCCCGTGGTTCTAGTGGGATCGGGCCGACCACATTAGGTGGGAATCATGGCCCCTCCCAGGTCCAGGGTCAGCTCACCCCCCTGCCCTCCACATTCGCCGCCGCCGTACGAGGCACATGTCGTCGCGGCGGCGCCCCTCGCGGCCCCCCACCATTCATACCCCCACGCAGGGGCGTACGCCGGTGCGAGGGACGTCCCCACGCCCACATCCTACTTGGCGAGCCCAAGTCTCTTTCCTGGGCTCGCTCGGCGGCCTCCTTCAGCGACATAACCTCCTCGCAAAAGGTGGCCGCCGCCTTCCACAACCTCGCGCTCGAGACCATGTGGTCGACCATGGCCGCGAGCAAAAGCTCCCACCCATCCACTGCGACTCTTAGGGCACGGCGCGGCGCGATTTATGCTGGACACTCCTTGAGTGTGTGCCACGCCGTGTCCACGTCTGCGGTGTGCACCAGTGGTGACACTGCGGTGTCGACTCCCGCCTCATCCGGTGCAGGTACTCTCCGAAGCATCTATGCTTTGAGAGTACCTGCGTGAGGCGGAAGGTCAACCTTCCCCGCATCCTGCATCATGTATCAAATATGGACAGGATGGGCCGGACAATCGGACGGCCCGATGGAGCAAGCTCTTGCTTCCACCGGGCCAGCGTGTCCTTCCAGGCTTGGCCCTTCCGGCACTCGACCTTACGTACCTCCTCAGCCGCGAATTCCACCCCCAGAAGGCAGTGGGCGGAGCAGTCGATCGTGAACATCGCCGCCCGCTCCACCGCCGCCCGCTCCACCGCCGCCCGCTCCACCGCCGCCAGATGGAAGGGCGGAATCACGGCAAGAAGGCCCGCCGCCTTGGCAGAGATAGTACGGTATCCCCGTATGGCCCGCAGGGCGAGCCGGCGCCGCACTCTTTCGAAGAGTGCATGGTTGCGCCGGCTACCCTCAAGTGAGATGCCACACGGGGGCCCCATAAAGGGCTATCGACTGCACCACCTCCGCATATAAGCCGCAAACCCTTAACTCTGCCCCCCCCTCCCCCGATATTGGGCAGCAACCGCGCTAACGCGACCGCTGTCCCTTCCATTCTGGGGGACAGGAGGTCAAAGTGTTCCTTGAAGTGCCAGCGGCCGTCGACGATCAGGCCCAGATACTTCATGGTGGGCCTGATGTCGACGAAGGTATCCACGATGCGAATCCAGAGGTCCCGATCGCAGGTTAGCCGCCGCGCCCGAGACAATCCGTAAAGCCAGATTGCCTCGGTCTTCGCAGCAGCCACGGTCAGACCCAACCTCCGGATTCGCCCGACAACGCAGTCTAGGGCGGACTCAGCAAGGTGCCTGGTCCTCCCCCAGTCTTCCCCATCGGCATATAACAGGGTGTCATCCGCATAGCAGATGACACCTGCGCCCGGAGGAAGGACAAACCGCAGCACCGCGTCATACGCAAGGTTCCACAGAAGCGGTCCGAGGACCGACCCCTGCGGAACTCCGCGGTGCGCCAGCGGGTCCGAGACCATAGCCACGTCCATAAGGACGTAGCTGTGGTCCGACAACATTTCACCCTCCCAGACCCGCCAGTTAGACACCCAGCGTGAGGCGGCGGCTGACGCAAATGATACGTCTACGATGGACCAGTCGTTCCACCTCACGCACGTTGGTACGGAGCCCCGGTTTAATAACCGGAGCTCCATCCCCTCCGCTCAATCCTGCAGCGCTCCGCCTCAGGAGCCGGTCCTCGGGTTACCCCACGCGGTGGACCTCGCATTGAGTTACTACTAACATAGCCCCCAGCCGGTCCAAAAACCTACCGAGTTCGGCAGCACTACAATTGGGTGAATTGTAGCATCCTACGACTAGGAACCTTCCCCATTGTACCAAAACCATCCCCCTGCTCCGTTCGACCACGGTGCAGGGGGGAAGAGTCGCCGAATGGCGACGGTACCACATCGCCACGAGACCGTCCTCATCCCCGAACCAGTGTAGATGGTCGGGGACTTGGTACGGCTCCGTGGCCACCGCTAGACCACCCGCCACTCCGCTAGGCAGTGGACCATAAGGTCCTGTGCCCGGCGGCAGTGGTTCAGGTTGGCCTGCAATACCCCAAGGGAAGCCCTGTGCGCCATTTCTAGGCCGTCACAGGACCTCCCGTGACGCCACGGCCTCCACCTCCATCGCAGCTGGCACAGAGGAGGTAGACGGGAGTGTAGCATCCCCTCCACCTCCCCGAGGTACCGCAGAGGGTGGCGCCACACCTGCCACCCCCTTTCGGCCCTTCTTCTTCTTTGGAGGCAGGGAGCACGCCTTGCTCCCCGCCTTATGTCCCGCAGGCCGGCCCAACTCAGCGCACACTACGCAGTGCGGGGCCTCACGGCATTCGGCGGCCCTGTGGGTGGAGCTCCCACACCGGTAGCAGTGCCCGCTCCGGTTAATCGCCGCAGTGCACCGCTGCCGCACATGCTCTACGGCATGACAGCGGAAACACTGCAGCGGCCGGGATGCCAGCACCACCACCTGGGCGAGGGACCACCCCATCCTAATACGCTTGGCCTTTCCGATGGCCAAGGCCGCCACGGCTGGGCACTGCACTCAAATGGTGCCGAGTCCATTGGGCGGGGCCTTCAGCTCCCCCACCCTCAC